ATGTCTTTTGACTCAGCTAATAACATGTAACATTGAAGACTATGAAGCTATCCAAGCTGATTTTCGATTCGCAGCATATATCTTGGAGAATGCGAGACATTTAGAGAATATGACCATTTGCCGTAATCCTCTCCCAAAACCAATGGAGAGCCCCCATTTTTTAAGTGATTTATCCTCTTGTTCAAGGATCTCTCCTACATGTAAGCTCTCATTTTCTGAGATATAAGTGCTTTGATGGTTTTGGTATTATTGTATTGTATAGCTTGTCTTAAGTTTCATAATATCTATTTTATTTGTACTTATCAAAATATCGGTTTCAATATTCATATTGTATTGTTTTTAAATATAAATTTTGAAAAGGACAAGATCGCAAAATGTTTTCCTAAAATATTGATATAACCACTTGTTTGAACATAGTTCCATTAGACTTGTTGACTGTTAAATCAGACTTGGCACTTGATATTTGTTAGAAATTTAAACAGTCTTCTATATAAATATGGGATATAATAAAACAACGCAATTAATTATGTTCTGAATGTAGAAGAAGATACAAAAGAGGCTACTAAGAGCATCTCAGGCTTTTTTTGAGCAGTACTCCCGCGTGGCAAATGTATCATTGATATTAAGGGTTATTGGAGTTCGCGACTTTGACAAATTATTACATTGTAACGACAATAAAACCAATTTTTCATTAAAATAATAATAAATCTTATAATGGGCCATTGTTGAATAGCTTTTTTATTTATTTTGTTTTTTAATATTTTATTTGATTATAAATAAGCTCATTTAAAACAATTTATACTTTAATTTTTTCTCACAGTTTTATTTTCTTTTGAATTTTCAATTTCACTCTCACAATTGTATCACTTTTTTTAATTTTTTTCTCACAATTTTATTTTTTACTTCAAAATTAATATAAAATTTCAATCTAATTTAATTTATTTATTAATTTTATTTTATATTAATATTAACTTAAATAACTTAAATTAATATTTCAAATTAAAATAAAATTTAATATAAATAAAATATTAATATATAAGATAAAATTGTAGGACATTTAAATTGAAACTCATTGGAGTGAAAAGATGCTCTAAGAACTCATTCTGTTATCAAATGTGTTTGGAAAAGATAATTCAATTAACAATCAAGCTCCAACATAGACCCGAATGTATTATTGCTATAAAATAATTGAAATGCAATTATAAGTGTTCACATGTCTCGGGTTACTTGTTAGACATTTAAATTGAAACTAATAATATTCATGTGCGTTAGCCGGTTAGATGCAACTCTAAATTTGAAATAAGTTGTTCATTTATAAATTCAATAGTATTAAAATAATTGTATAAATGAAGTTTTGATTCCACATTAGACAATATTTTAAATGATCTAACAATTAACATAAGTGTAGGGAGATATAATTCTTATTTCGAAAAGGAAGGAAATGAGTGAAAATACTAAGAGTGTCTCCAATAGGGAGAATTTCTTTTGATTGCTTGCGCTATTTGTATGAGATCAAAATGCCACAATGCATTTGAGTTTAATATTGGCAAAATAAATAACAACTCTATTTTCTTACAAACTCCATTTTCTTACAATTTACAACGAAAGTTAATATTGTACACCCTCAAAAACAGTCCTCTTAAATAGATTCTAAATTTGGTGGTATTGAAATAGTGAATGATCCAAATCTCAAGTAAATGTTTTTATATTTTTGATGTGACAGCAAACCAAGATTGGGATATATGGAAATCATAGTTTTTAAACAAAATGACACGATTATAAAATTATAGTACCCAGAAATATGGCAATCAAAACAATAAGCTCAATGGGAACAACACATTAAAATAATAGAATCGATTGCAATCAAACACCATACACGATACAACTCACATGCTTCTATCAAACCTCCCGTGAAAATCTGGACAGAAAAGCAAATCATAAGAAATCATAAAATGAAGAGAATGAAGTGATGGATAAATGAGCCATTGAGATTGGAGAATGCAAGCAAAGATAGGCAGGGCAAAGAGACAGGTTCGGTTCTCATTGCCCTCTTTTTTTCCTTAAAATTTTCAAGTTGGGCAGCAGTATCTCTATAAGTATTTTCCGTGTATAACTTCAACAGCTTCAAATAAATGGTATCTCAGTGCAAGTCAAATTGAAAATTACATCACAACTATTGAACTCTTGCGGTGTATATACCGGCAACATCATTGCATGTATTCTATTTTCTCCCTACACGTTTTTCCTGTATTGCTCTTGGAAATTCTTTTTTTGTTGGATTTTGATGAGAATAACAAGAAAGTTAAATAACAAGATTGATAATATTAGTGCCAAGAGATGGGCATGCTTATCAACTTCAAAGCTTAACTACAAGACAACAACCTTAGTGTTGCGCCAATGACTCACCCCAAAGAGAAGAAAACAATAGAATGTCATAAACGCATTCAAAATTGATTAACTTCCCATAAAGAAGTTGAAGAACACCTTACAATAATATGACAGATTTATAAAACTCATACACAATAAATACCGTAAGAATTATGCAAGATTTATAAAAATCCTACACATGAACAAAAAAATTCATCTCAATTTCTAAAACATTTCGTACTTCTTACCACCACCCTTCTTATCATGTTTTCCACTGCCTCCTTTTCTTTTCCCTGTATTGGACATATTTTTTCCAGTGTCATGGCCTCTTGTGGGTGTTGACTTCAACAAATGCTTCACGTCAAGTATACCATTTCTAAAACGACCTTCACTTAACTTTAAACCCCTGTCCTCAGGCTTGTGTTTTCCAACTGGTTTTTTACTGTTGCTACCACCAACCTTTCCTCCAAACCGTCCTAGAATCATACGCTACAAACCACAAATGGAACAAATATAAGGAATAATAAGGCAAGAGTTTTACAAACAAATAAAGATGGGAATGAAAGAAATCAATCACCTCTTGGAGCATTTTTTCTTCTCTCTGCTTTTGTTTCTTCATCATTGGCCGTGCCACATTTAAAGGTAATCTTTGATTCTTGAGGGGTTGCATATTGGAAAATGAAATACTGAATTGTGTGCATTGGGCATCCTAATATTATTACCATTTTTCAAATAGAACATGATATAGAAAATAGATCATTAACAAATAGAACTCACCTTCCCACCAAGGGAAACAACCTTCCTATCTTCAATCTTTTTGCGCTCTTTCCATGACATATGCAAGTTGCCTAAGATATATTGCAATAAGCATCCATTATGACAAAGAAGGTAACAAACCAAGTGAATATGCTTAGTTGCTTACCATAATTTATTTACCTCAAAACACACCAATTTAAAATAATGAAAGGACTAAAGCTATGTTTGGATTTTTAAAATGAACAGAGCGGAATGGAAAGAAGCGGAACCGAGCATAATGAAATGTAATGGAACGGAGCGGACTAGAGATTTCATTCCATTGTTTGGATATTATAAGACGGAACAAAGCCATGTTCTCATTTCCGCCCAAATCGGAAGGTAAGAAAATGGTGGTAAGTGATGGAATGCATTCCATCATTCCATCATGTTCCGCTCCACTCCAAGCTCTTTTTAACAATCCAAAGGATTCCATTATGCTTCATTCGATCATATTCCATCAATCCAAACACAGCCTAACATTTTTCTTATCATTCAAACATCCAAATCAAATCTTTTCTTATAACACTTAAACATTTCAATGCAAAATCACAAGGATAAGAACATACTGAAATTTCCAACATCTTTCATAATCGTCCTTAGATCCATATCGTTTTCCTGCTGGTTGGTACGATCTCTTGGAAGCACATGTTTTCCCATCACTGCTTCAAAATTGAAAGAGAGATTTAAGGGAAAAAAGCTTCAAACTAAAACAAAATTTGAAACTACAAACACATTCAGAATAAAAAAATAGTTCAAACGAAAGATTTAAAAGCTTAAACCTCTTCATAGAAATACTACCACGAAACAATAATAATCATGACTAAACAGATAAAACCTAATCGCAGCCAATAGCGGCGAGATCGCGGTGGTACGGAGGGGGTAACAGCCTCTGAACGGCGCGCATCACTGTTGCGGCTGTCTCAGATGTATTTAACGAGAACTACACGGCGCGTGTAGCTGCCGTCACGGAGTTACGCTTCCGTTAATAATGAAAAAAAATTAAAAATAAAATAAAATAATTGAAAAAGAAACATGATGAATCACAGTAGAAGGAAGAGGGACAGTGAAGAATTACTAACCAGCGGCGTGCTTCAATTACAGTTACAAGACGGCTGCTGCTAGGTTGAAGGAAAGGGAGGAACTCAAACTTTGTAAAGTGACGTCAGACGATGAAATAAAAATAGGTAAAATTCTCCCTTGAAAAAATTGATATAAAAGATGTATTGGGTGGGATTTTAGAGAATTTTTAAATAAAAATTTATGGTATTTAATCAAACACTTTTATAAAATTTAAAAAAATATTGTAATTTTCAATTAATATAGTTACGATTTTTTATTTTCTTTTTTTTGACAGCATTACGATTTTTTCTTTGAAAATATAACAAAATTGGTAATCAATTGACTTTCTCAAATTTTACTCACACTCTTTTATCATCATTTAATTATTTTATTTTATTTTATAGTGAAAGCAGTCTTATATAGCCTTTACAATAGGAACTAGTCAAAAGTCAGCAGTACATTACAATAAAATAGGAATAACAGAAATTGATCCTAAAATATAGGAATTCCTCCTAAAGAATCTAACTTCCCTTAGGACTAGGATTTATTAGTAAAAACGTGGACTGAATTAAAAAATAAATAGACTCCCTTAAGCTAATGCCTATGTGATTAGCTTAATTACTCCAAGCAAATTATACGGAACCAGTGGTGTATAACTGCACTTGACTAGGACTGTATTCAGTGACTTCACTCCCTCTCTTCGATAGGGAAGCTAGGTCATGGAAAACCTTCTTCCCCAACCGCCTCATTCCACAAACCAAAATACCAATATGATCAAAATGCCGCAATCAGACTCCTCTATCAATGACTTACCAGACGAGATACTATCTCATATTCTCTCTTTTCTCCCAACCAGGCATGCTTTCAAAACCATCCTTCTTTCTAAGAAATGGATTCCTATATGCTACTCACTCTCAGTATTACGCGTTGACGATGGAATCGTCAACAACGCAGACAACAGGATTCACTTGCTTAGATTCGTGGAGGATTTTATATTCTCCCCACACTCTCAGCACATTCCCCTCAAAGCTTTTGTTCTCCATTGTCGTTTCCAAATCTGGGATGCCGAAACCGACCGTTCCACTTTCGACAAATGTCTCCAAGCAGCTAAACTACGTCGCGTCCTTTATCTCTATTTATACTTGTTATACATCCCTTTAGCGCCTACTATTTTCTGCTTCAAAACACTTGTCGTCCTGACATTAATCAAAATACGTCCAGACAGTTTGTTTGATTGCTCTGTTGATCTTCCTATGCTCAAAAACCTCTATCTGTGTGATGTTCGTTTTCATCATATGGATGATTTCATGAAACTTCTCTCTGGGTGTCCTGAATTGGAGAGATTGACTAGCCTATATGTCAAAGCAAATGACATGGCTCCAGCAAGAGGGTATGCTAAACCCTTGTCCAAGTTGATTTTATCCACTATCCGTTTGTTCGAGGTTCCTTTTAAAGCTGTTTATAATGTCCAGCATCTAAATATATCAGGGGTATGTATGATATCTTATATAATATGATTTCTATGTATGATATCTTATATAATATGATTTATGTTTTCCATTTTGTTTACTTTTAAAATATGTATCTTATTTTTGTACTGTGCAGTTGGGGATTAATCTTGTTAATAAAGAAACCAATTCATATTACAAAGACTTTCCGGTATTTGAAAACTTAACAGTACTTAATCTGGGTTGGAGTACTTATACCCAAATTCATGAATGGGATGAGGTAGTCAAAATGCTCCAAAGTTGTCCCAAACTTCAATCTCTTTCCATTTCAAAGGTTTGTTTCTTTACATCCATGGACAGTTGTTGGTTTTTGTTAATTCTTCTTTTCTTTACATATCCTATTTTGTCTCTGATTGACAGGCAAAGAGTTCACCAACCAAAGAGGACTGGAAATATCCATATCATGTTCCTCAATGTCTTTTGACTCAGCTAATAACATGTAACATTGAAGACTATGAAGCTATCGAAGCTGATTTTCGATTCGCAGCATATATTTTGGAGAATGCGAGACATTTAGAGAATATGACCATTTGCCGTAATCCTCTCCCAAAACCAATGGAGAGCCCCCAATTTTTAAGTGATTTATCCTCTTGTTCAAGGATCTCTCCTACATGTAAGCTCTCATTTTCTGAGATATAAGTGCTTTGATGGTTTTGGTATTATTGTATTGTATAGCTCTTGTCTTAAGTTTCTATTTTATTTGTACTTATCAAAATATCGGTTTCAATATTCATATTGTACTGTTTTTAAATATAAATTTTGAAAAAGGACAAGATCGCAAAATGTTTTCCTAAAATATTGATATAACCACTTGTTTGAACATAATTCCATCAGACTTGTAGACTGTTAATCAGACTTGTGCTTAAATTGGCTGCCGTCTTAGTTCAACTTGGCACTTGATATTTGTTAGAAATTTAAACGGTCTTCTATATAAATATGGATATAATAAAACAAAGCAATTAATCATGTTCTGAATGTAGAAGAAGATACAAAAGAGGCTATTAAGAGCATCTCCGACGGCAGTTTTTTTGAGCAGATCTCTAGCGTGGCAAATACATCATTGATATTAAGGATCATTGGAGTTCGTCAATTTGACAAACCGTTGCATTGTAACGATGATAAAATCAATTTTTCATTAAAATAATAAAAAATCTTATAATAGACTATTATTGAATAGCTTTTTTTATTTATTTTGTTTTTTAATATTTTATTTTAAAACAGTTTATACTTTAATTTTTTCTCACACTTTTATTTTCTTTTGAATTTTCAATTTCACTCTCACAATTGTATCACTTTTTCTTAATTTTTTTCTCACAATTTTATCTTTTACTTCAAAATTAATATAAAATTTCAATCTAATTTTATTTATTAATTTTATTTTATATTAATATTAATTTAAATAATTTAAATTAATATTTTAAATTAAAATAAAATTTAATATAAGATAAAATTGTAGAACTTAATATCAGTTCTTTAGAGTTGCACCATTTGAATGAAAATTGTGTTTGGAAAAGATAATTCAATTAACAATCAAACTCCAACATAATCCCTAATGTATTATTGCTACTGGACACCTATAACAAAATAAAATAATTGAAATGCAATTATAAGTGTTCACATGTCTCGGGTTACTTGTCTAATTAGACATTTTAATTGAAATTAATAAGATTTATGTGCGTTCCGGTTAGATGCAACTCTAAATTTGAAATAAGTTGTTCAATTATAAATTCAATAATATTAAAATAATTGTATAAATCAAATTTTGATTCCACATTAGACAATATTTTAAATGATCTAACAATTAACATAAGTGTATGGAGATATAATTCTTATTTCGAAAAGGAAGGAAATGAGTGAAAATACTAAGAGTATCTCCGATAGGGAGAATTTCTTTTGATTGCTTGCGCTATTTGTATGAGATCAAATTGTCACAATGCATTTGAATTTAATATTGGCAAAATAAATAACAACTCTATTTTCTTACAATTTACAAAGATAGTCCATATTGTACATTCTCAAAAACAGTCCTCCTAAATAGATTCTAAATTTGATGGTATTGAAATAGTGAATGATCCAAATCTCAAGTAAATGTTTTTATATTCTTGATGTGACAGCAAACCAAGATTAGGATATATGGAAATCATAGCTTTTAAACAAAATGACACGATTATAAAATTATAGTACCCAGAAATATGGCAATCAAAACAATAAGTTCAATGGGAACAACACATTAAAATAATAGAATGGATTGCAGTCAAACACCATACACGATACAACTCACATGCTTCTATCAAACCTCCGGTGAAAATCTGGACAGAAAAGCAAATCATAAAATGAAGAGAATGAAGTGATGGATAAATGAGCCATTGAGAGTGGAGAATGCAAGCAAAGATATGCAGGGCAAAGAGACAGGTTCTGTTCTCATTGCCCACTTTTTTTCCTTAAAATTTTCAAGTTGGGCAGCAATATCTCTATAAGTATTTTCCGTGTATAACTTTAATAGCTTCAAATAAATGGTATCTCAGTGCAAGTCAAATAGAAAATTACATCACAACTATTGAACTCTTGCGGTGTATATACCGGCAACATCATTGCATGTATTCTATTTAATCCCTACACGTTTTTCCTGTATTGCTCTTGGAAATTCTTTTTTTGTTGGATTTTGATGAGAATCCCCTCTCAACGTGAGAACTTAAATAACAAGATTGATAATATTAGTGCCAAGAGATGGGCATGCTTATCAACTTCAAAGCTTAACTACAAGACAACAACCTTAGTGTTGCGCCAATGACTCACCCCAAAGAGAAGAAAACAATAGAATGTCATAAACGCATTCAAAATTGATTAACTTCCCATAAAGTTGAAGAACACCTTACAATAATATGACAGATTTATAAAACTCATACACAATAAATACCGTAAGAATTATGTAAGATTTATAAAAATCCTACACATGAACAAAAAAATTCATCTCAATTTCTAAAACATTTCGTACTTCTTACCACCACCCTTCTTATCATGTTTTCCGCTGCCTCCTTTTCTTTTCCCTGTATTGGACATATTTTTTCCAGTGTCATGACCTCTTGTGGGTGTTGACTTCAACAAATGCTTCACGTCAAGTATGCCATTTCTAAAACGACCTTCACTTAACTTTAAACCCCTGTCCTCAGGCTTGTGTTTTCCAACTGGTTTTTTACTGTTGCTACCACCAACCTTTCCTCCAAACCGTCCTAGAATCACACGCTACAAACCACAAATGGAACAAATATAAGGAATAATAAGGCAAGAGTTTTACAAACAAATAAAGATAGGAATGAAAGAAATCAATCACCTCTTGGAGCATTTTTTCTTCTCTCTGCTTTTGTTTCTTCATCATTGGCCGTGCCACACTTAAAGGTAATCTTTGATTCTTGAGGGGCTGCATATTGGAAAATGAAATACTGAATTGTGTGCATTGGGCATCCTAATATTATTACCATTTTTCAAATAGAACATGATATAGAAAATAGATCATTAACAAATAGAACTCACCTTCCCACCAAGGGAAACAACCTTCCTATCTTCAATCTTTTTGCGCTCTTTCCATGACATATGCAAGTTGCCTAAGATATATTGCAATAAGCATCCATTATAACAAAGAAGGTAACAAACCAAGTGAATATGCTTAGTTGCTTACCATAATTTATTTACCTCAAAACACACCAATTTAAAATAATGAAAGGACTAAGGCTATGTTTGGATTTTTAAAATGAACAGAGCGGAATGGAAAGAAGCGGAACCGAGCATAATGGAATGTAATGGAACGGAGCAGACTAGAGATTCCATTCCATTGTTTGGATATTATAAGACGGAACAAAGCCATGTTCTCATTTCCACCCAAATCGGAAGGTAAGAAAATGGTGGTAAGTGATGGAATGCATTCCATCATTCCATCATGTTCCGCTCCACTCCAAGCTCTTTTTAACAATCCAAAGGATTCCATTATGCTTCATTCGATCATATTCCATCAATCCAAACACAGCCTAACATTTTTCTTATCATTCAAACATCCAAATCAAATCTTTTCTTATAACACTTAAACATTTCAATGCAAAATCACAAGGATAAGAACATACTGAAATTTTCAACATCTTTCATAATCGTCCTTAGGTCCATATCGTTTTCCTGCTGGTTGGTACGATCTCTTGGAAGCACATGTTTCTTCTTGTACATCTTTCCCATCACTGCTTCAAAATTGAAAGAGAGATTTAAGGGAAAAAAGCTTCAAACTAAAACAAAATTTGAAACTACAAACACATTCAGAATAAAAAAATAGTTCAAACGAAAGATTTAAAAGCTTAAACCTCTTCATAGAAATACTACCACGAAACAATAATAATCATGACTAAACAGATAAAACCTAATCGCAGCCAATAGCGGCGAGATCGCGGTGGTACGGAGGGGGTAACAGCCTCTGAACGGCGCGCATCACTGTTGCGGCTGTCTCAGATGTATTTAACGAGAACTACACGGCGCGTGTAGCTGCCGTCACGGAGTTACGCTTCCGTTAATAATGAAAAAAAATTAAAAATAAAATAAAATAATTGAAAAAGAAACATGATGAATCACAGTAGAAGGAAGAGGGACAGTGAAGAATTACTAACCAGCGGCGTGCTTCAATTACAGTTACAAGACGGCTGCTGCTAGGTTGAAGGAAAGGGAGGAACTCAAACTTTGTAAAGTGACGTCAGACGATGAAATAAAAATAGGTAAAATTCTCCCTTGAAAAAATTGATATAAAAGATGTATTGGGTGGGATTTTAGAGAATTTTTAAATAAAAATTTATGGTATTTAATCAAACACTTTTATAAAACTTAAAAAAATATTGTAATTTTCAATTAATATAGTTACGATTTTTTCTTTTCTTTTTTTTTTACAGCATTACGATTTTTTCTTTGAAAATATAACAAAATTGGTAATCAATTGACTTTCTCAAATTTTACTCACACTCTTTTATCATCATTTATTTTTTTTATTTTATTTTATAATCATACTTCATATTGTTAGAACCGTAAATAATAAAAGTATTGAGAATGAGAAAACTAATATTTTATTATAAAGTGAAAGCAGACTTATATAGCATTTACAACAGGAATTAATCAAAAGTCAATAGTACATTGCAATAAAATAGAAATAATAGAAATTGATCCTAAAATATAGGAATTCCTCCAAAAGAATCTAACTTCTCTTAGGACTAGGATTTATTAGTAAAAACGTGAACTGAATCAAAAAACAAATAGACTTTGACTAACATTTCGTCCCTTAAGCTAATGCCTCTGTGATTAGCTTAATTTTGTGATCTTTATTACTCCAAGCATGCTTCGAAGCTTCTCAAACTGCTCGAGCTTCAATGGCTTCGTCATTATATCTGCAACTTGTTCTTCAGAGCAGCAAAAACTCAGTCTCACCACTTCATCATTTACCAAGTCTCAGAAAATGAAACCTTACTGCAATATGTTTACTTTTGCCATGAAAAATTGGATTTTTGGACAATTGAATAGTGGAACTGTTGTCACATAAAATCACAGTTTCTTCCTTTTCTTCAGCTCCAAGTTGCTCCAAGATTCTTCTAAGCCAAATACACTAACAAGCACAAAGTATTGCAGCAATATATTCTGCCTCAGTGGTGGATAGGCTCACAACAGGTTGTTTTTTCGAAGCCCATGAAACAGCTCCAGACCCCATCATAAACACTAAGCCAGAAGTGCTTCTTCGATCATCTAAATCTCCTGCGTAATTGCTGTCAGAATAAGCTACAAGACCTGTTTTTCTTCCTTCATTCTTGTAGAATTTCCTGTGCTTTGCGGTTCCTTTTAGATATCTTAAGAGTCTTTTTGTTGCAGCCCAATGTGATTCTTTTGGATTCGCCATGAACCTGCTCATCAAGCTCACTCCAAACATCAAATCTGGTCGAGTTATCGTTAGATACATGAGACTTCCAATGACTTGTTTGGACATTGTAGCATCTACTTCAGTGCCATCCTCATCTTTTGATAAATTTGTTCCTGGAACAATTGGATTTCTTACTGAGTTGTTGCTTCCCATGTTGAACCTTGCTAGAACTTCTTGAGCATATCTTCTTTGACAAATAAAAATCCCAACTTCACATTGTATCACTTCTATTCCAAGAAAATGTCTCATCTTTTCCAAGTCAGTCATGTCAAAATCTAATTTCATCGACTTTTTAAATTCATCACACATGCTTCTATTATTTCCCGTAAAAATCAAATCATCAACATAAAGGCTAACTATCAAAATGTTACCTTCCTTTCTCTTGGTGAACAAAGTGTGTTCACTGGAGTACCTTTCAAATTTCTCTTTTGCAAAATATGCCTCAATTTTGTTGTTCCAAGCTCTCGGTGCTTGTTTAAGGCCATATAATGCTTTCTTCAACCTGTAAACTTTGTCTTCTTCTCCTTTCTTGAAAAATCCTTCAAGCTGCTGTACAAATACTTCCTCCTTGAGCTCACCGTGAAGAAAAACACTTTTTACGTCAAGTTGATATACTTCCCATCCACGTTGAGCTGCCAAAGCTAGTAGTACCCGCACGGTGTCAAGTCTTGCGACTGGTGCAAATACTTCTGTATAATCCACTCCATACTATTGTGCGTATCCTTTTGCTACCAATCTTGCCTTAAACTTTTCAATTTTCCCACTTTCATTGAGCTTGGTTTTGAAAATCTATTTAACTCCTTTTGGTGCATCAGTTAGCTCCCATGTCTTATTCTTTTCTATTGCCTTCATCTTTGTGTTCATTGCTTCTCTCCACTTCCTGCTCTTGAATGCTTCTTCAAAGAGGTAAGGATCGCTTCCATTTTCAACCATCATCATCACCATTAAGCTTTCTTCTTCCTCGAAAATATTTGTTCCCTCTTCATAATCTGCCATCCAAACTGGTTTTCTTCTATTTCTTGTTGCCCTCTCTAAAAAATCTTGTTCAACTTCATTTATTTCATTTGTCGGTGACCCGATCTCGTTTAAACTGCTTAAGGATGCATCTTGATTGATATCACCATTGTTTTCTTCATCATTTTGTGCAGACCCTTGGTCTTCACTTCCTTCTTCGTTTTCTTCCTCTTCCCAATCTAAAACATCAGCTTTGCATTCTTCTTCAGTTCTTCCCCAGTCCCAGCTCTTGTCTTCTTCAAACACTACATCTTTGTTCACAATGACTTTCCTTGCAACAGGATCAAATAACTTATAAGCTTTAGACTCATCACTAACTCCCAAAAATACACACCTTTTGCTTTTGTCGTCTAGCTTGCTTCTCTTTTGGTCCGGTACATGAGCATGCGCTACACATCCAAAAATCCGAAAATGGTCAACTCTTGGTTTTACACCACTCCATGCTTCTTCAGGGGTTTTGTGATCTACTGCTGAAGTTGGACTTCTATTCTGCACGTGAACACACCATCTAACTACTTCAGGCCAAAATACTCTTGGAACTTGTCTCTCATTCAGTACAGCTCTTACTGCATTCATGATCGTCCTGTTTTTTCTCTTGGCGACACCGTTTTGTTGAGGAGTATATGCAGTCGTCAATTGCCTACAAATAACTTGATCCTTACAGAATTCTTCAAACTCATTAGAGGTAAATTCACCACCTCGATCAGTCCTTAAAAAAGTGATGAATGCACCCACTTCTTTCTCAACATATGCCTTGAAATTTTTGAATCTACCAAATGCTTCTGATTTTTCATGTAAGAAATAAATCCAAGCTTTACGAGTAAAGTCATCAATAAATCTTAACACATATCTCTTGTTACTATTTGAAGATTGCGTGATCGGACCATAAATATCAGCATGAACTAGATGAAGCTTTTTCGAGGCCCTCCAGAAGCTTTTCTTTGGTATCGACTCTCTATGTTGTTTTCCAATTAGGTATGTAGTGCATATCTTCTTTGGAGACTTCAGGGAAGGTAATCTAATGACCATCTTCTTGCCTGGGAGTGTATTGAGCCCCTTGTAGTTAAGGTGTCCAAAGCAACAATGCCACAATTGAGTTTCTTTCTCCGACACCGTTTCATCTTGTAGACACATGGGATTTTTGTTTGGTGCTGCAGAAGCTGTCAAATAGAACATCTTATTTCCCCTCATACTAGTGTGCATAATTAATCCTTTATCTGGATGAAATACTTTGTAAGTGCCATTTCGAATTAAAATTGCCAATCCCTTTTCTTGGAGTTGTCCTAAACTTAGCAAATTATTCTTAAGCTCAGGAACAAAGTAAACATCAGATATTACCTGAGTAACGTCATTCATTTGCAAATGTATGCTTCCTTTTGCCACAACATTTATTGTTGTATCATTTCCAAGCTTCACAATTCTTCAAAATCATTCCTCCAATTCTGAAAACCATTTTTTGTTTTCCGTCATATGATTGCTGCAGCCAGAGTCTAAGAACCAAGCTTCTTCTTGTGTGGGTTGACGCATATCTTCATATGCCATTAATAAGAGTTCTTCTTCTTCCTCCAGCTCCTCATAATTTGACTTCTTCTCCCAGTCAGGGCACTCATACTGAAAGTGACTCAACTTGTGACATTTAAAGCACTCAACAATTTCTTTGTTTAGAGATAATCTTCCTCTTCCTCTGCCACGTCCTCCTCTGAATACGCCTCTACCTCCTCTGCCTCTGATTGGTCTATCATCACTGGTTATTTTCAATACATGTTCTTCTGTTTGAAACCCCTGCATTCTTTACTCATGAACAAGGAGGCTGCCATGCAGTTCATCAATACTCAAGGTACTCAAATCATTTGATTCCTCTATTGAGCACACAACATAATTGAATTTATAGGTAAAAGATCTGAGTATCTTGCTAACCATCGTACTTTGCTCCATTGTTTCACCATTTGATTTCATCTTGTTTACCACATGAAGAGTCCGTCCCAAAAAGCTATCGACCTTCTCGCCTTCTTTCATGGTCAATAGCTCGAATTCTCTTCTCAATGCTTGAAGTTGTGCTCTTTTCACCTTTGTGGATCCTTGATACTTCTGTTGCATGGACCTCCATATTGCCCTTGAAGTTACCTTATCAATAATCGTTTCCAGAATTTCTCTGTCAATGGCTTGAAACAGAAATTTTTTTCCTTCAAATCTTTAAGCTTGGCCTCTTTCACACCCTTCCTTTGCGCTTCACTTGTTGTTGCTATTCCAATTGTTGGTGTCGAGATCCCTTCTT